GGGGAGAGGGGAGAGGGGAGAGGGGAGAGGGGAGAGGGAGAGGGAGAGGGAGATAGAAACACCAATGCACACCTCTGACTGGGGAGCAAGCCTGCATCTGGGGCATGTGCCTTGACTGGGAATCAAATCTCGATCTCCTGGATCCTAGGTTGATGCTCAACCGCTGAGCCATGCCCAGCTGGGCAACAGTAACTTATATAGAAGAAAATATAGGTACTAAATTTGTGGACCTTGGTTACAAAGAATATTTTATAAATTTGACCCCAAAGGCAAGAGAAGTAAAGGATGAAATAAATGAATAGGACCATATCAAACTAAAAAGCTTCTGCATGTGCCCCAACTGGGGCCAGGTATCAAACCTGCAACCCAAGTATGTTCCCTTGACTGGGAATCACACCCGCGACCCTTTGCTGCACAGGCTGATGCTCTAGCCACTGCGCTACACTGGCCAGGGCTATGTATTACATTTTAAAAGCTACTTTTGAGTTATGTTCCAAAAGCACAGTATCAATTTATATTCTTACCAATACTACCCATTTCTCCATGCCACTATTCAGACTCAATGCCTTTGAACCACCATGCTATATTTGAAGCTTACTTTAAGCCACTCTTGGAAATAAATTTATCTATGCTTTAATCCTCATCCGAGGACATTTTTTCCACTGCTTTTCAGAGAAAGTGGAATGGGGGGGGGAGAGAGAGAGAGAGAGAGAGAGAAAGACTGATGTGAGAGAGACCTGGGCTAGGGATCAAGCCTGTAACCCAGGTACATGCCCTTGGCCAAAATTGAACCCGGAACCCTTCAGTTGGTGGGTGGATACTCTTAACCAGTGAGCCAAACAGACCAGGGCTATAATTTCTTTAAAAAAAAAAGAAAGTATTTATTGATTGGGGGGGGGGAGAGAGAAACATTGATTTGTTTGTTGTTTCACTTTTTTTTTAAATGTAGGGGGTATATATATTTTTAATTGATTTCAAAGAGAGGATGGAAGAGGGAGAGAGCAATAGAAACATCAATGATGAGAGAGAATCACTGATTGGCTGCCTCCTGCATGCCCCCACTGGGGATCAAGCCTGCAACCCAGGCATGTACCCTGACCAGGAATTGAACCATGACCTCCTGGTTCATGAATCAATGATCAAACACTGACCCACACCCAGCCGGGTTGTTGTTCCACTTATTTATGCATTCATTGGCTGATGCTTATATGTGCGGTGAACAGGGATCAACCCGCAACCTTGGCACACTGGGATGACACTCTAACCAACTGAGCTACCCGGCCAGGGCCTGTGACTTCATATAATTTCCATTCTAGTGGTGAAAAGAGACTTCCTTCAAAAAGGTGCAGGTATGTAAGAGAGAGAAGTACAAAGAAGAACATTTAAAGGAAGAAGGATTCTGTGATCAGAGAAGGCATTTCTGAGGAAGTGACATTTGAAGCGAGATATGAAGGAAGGGAGAAAGCAAGTCATATGGATATCAGGATATTAGGCAGAGTGGAGTACAAGCGCCAAGGCCTTGAGGCTGGGATGTAACTAACATATGGGGTGTCCCCAAAAAATGTATATTCACTTTACAGCTAATAGCTCAATACATGTTTCTTTCTTTTAAATTTAACCCAGTGGAATAATTTATTCAAATTTGGGGGGAATCCCTGTACTTTCAGGAAAGATCCTGATTTCATATCATTCAAACATACCTCCCTGACAAGGTCCTGCTCTAAGTTATGGCGTCCAAGTAACATTCTTCTCTTGAAGCGACGGCATTCCAGCTCTAGGTATTGTCTCTGACGTCGAAGAAGATTAGCCTCTTCTTCTGCTTGGAAATGCTGTATATTCTCCTTCTGCTTTGAAAGCCACTCCTGTTTTTCTTTTTTTGGAGTGCTCTGGTTTTCATTCAGCTCCTAGCAACATAAAAAACCACTCAGTTCAAAATTAATAAAAATTAACTACATAAATTTACCATTTGGTAGGTATCTGGTAAATTTAAAGAAAAGTACTTTACCTTTGTCCTCTCTAATGCTAAGGAAGGGCAATTACTTTAAGGAGGAAGATAGTGTTTTCCTTTTCCTTGAGTTACCCATGAAGTAGGAAGGGAAAAGAGAAATGTACAACTAGAAAGAATGCATACCCTTTTAACTTTGCACAGCTAAATTTGTGATGGTTTCTAGCTTCAAAAGCACAAAATGACTGGTAAATGAAGTAAAACACACCTTTCTTTAAATCCTTCCTGAGACAGGAGGTAGTGCTTTCAGGTATGTGAATTAAAATTAGGGCTAAAATACAGTTATATTTCACTTCTTGGTTTTCGGCAGTCTAAATATTAAGTTTTTCTGACAAAATTATGAATGGAATCAATAGAAAAGAATTGGAAATTAAATAGAAAAATCAATAAAACCTTGGAAGAACAGAGATCTTCCTTATGAATGGTATTGAATATTCAGCATTAATAACAATGAACAACAAAGCCAATCTTCTTCAATAGCATTTTAAGTACCATTTCATAAACTACCTAAATGAAATGCATTTTATTGGGCAAGATGAGAGCATTGACAACGTACTCAATGAGGTAAACCTTAGAATGCTAATTAGTAGTAGTATATTTTCAACCTAAAAAGCATCACCATTGCATGGAATATAAATCAGACATCTTTCCTAGGTATAAAATGATTTTTCAGTTTACTAACTTTATCAAGAAAGAGACTAATTCTTTGTAACTTTAGTTCATGAGATATTCAAACACATAAAAATAAAAAACACAAACCAATGAACTTATATGCATACATGCATGGACAGGCAATAGTTCGGGGAAGACTGGGGCGGGAGTGGGAATGGGGTGGAGGGGGTCAATGAGGGGGACATCTGTAATACTTTCAACAATAAAGGTAAATTAAAAAAATAAAAAGCACATAAATTAGTAGCTCTCAATGTAAGGGTGTGTGTGTGTATGAACACTGTGGGAAGAGATAGGGAAACAGGCATATACATAATCACCTGGGTATCTTTTAAAAATCTGTCAGGACGTTCCACACCAAGACTCTAAGTCCCCTCCTCTATACAGAGAATCAGTATTCTAAATAAACACACGCAAAGCTGGCTTCTAAAACAAACTGAATTTATTAGTAGGACTATAAGTTATATTATTAAAGGATTACCTAAACCAACGCACACAAATGCACTAAATTTCATTTCCCTGGGAAGCATAACTATAGAATTGCATTTTGTTGGATGCAATACTTAAAGTTGTGAATCCTGTTTACAATCTTTTCAAACCCAATGTTCCAGTATAGACTTTGGCTTCTATATTATAGTCATGGGAACATATTGCAGGTTATACCCTCTAGAGTTGGAAAAATCCTGTCAATGAAGCTCACTTGACAAGGTATATATAGCAAGTCTTTGTGCCATCAATATATTCATAAGACTTATATATGTGACTATAAAGCAAATTCCTACACACACAAAAGCATTAATATCAAAGAGATTACTGTTATTTTATCAAGATCAATTAACTTATCAGTATCCTAATAACTGATTACATGGCCTAAAAATTTCAATCTGTTCTTATATGCATGGACAGGCAATAGTTCAGGGAAGGCCTGAGGTGGGGGTTATAATTTTAGACATCATTTTTCTGTCCTGAACACTATCCTGAGTAATTATCTCCTTTCAGAAATTGCCTTGGAACAATTAAGGCTTTTCAAAATTAGACAACATCTTCGTTTAAACGAAGTTCAAGAAAGCAGTTCATAGCCCTAGCTGGGAGTGTTTGTTGTCCTGTACACCAAAAGGTTGTGAGTTCAATTCCCAGTCAGGGCACATACCTAGGTTTTGGGTTCAATCTCCGGTCGGGGTAAGTATGGGAGGCAACAAATCAAATGTTTCTCTCTCACACTGATGTTTCTTTCTCTCTTTCTCTCTCTCTCTAAAAATCAATAAAAACATATTCTCAGGTGAGGGTTAAAAAAAAAAAAGGAACGCAGCTGATAAAGGGCAAATGAATATGAATGAAATCAGGTGGCCATAAAGAAATAATAAACATGTTCTCCTATTAAAGAAAATATGATGAGCAAATAAGTCTCTTATCCTTGCTCTATGTTAAAATTGGAAGAACAAATTATTATAATCTTCTGAGCCAAAAGTAAGAAAAAAGATGGTACTTTTAAAGAAAATGTGGGACTTTTTTTCACAGCTCAAGTATTTTTATTTCTAGTGAGTCAGTTACTTAATAAATGCATAGGAAAGCTATTATAAGTAAAATAATTTGTACTTTCAGGTTATTCTTTTTAGATCCCACTCAACTGATGATTCTTATTTCACTGACAAGTAAATGGTCATAATCAATGTCGTCATTCAAACTGATATACATTTAGTGACTACAAACAACAAAAGAAAACTTTATCCTGCATAAGGAATATAGTCAATAATTTTGTAATAACTATGTATCATGCCAGGTAAGTCCTAGACTTATAAAGGAGATCACTTTGTAATTTATATAAATGTCTAACCACTATGTTATACACCTGAAACTAATATAATATTGAATGTCAACTGTAATTGAAGAAAAAAATTAAAAGAAAAATTTATCTTAATGCTTCTATGAGTTGATCAGCATTGGATATAATTACTAATCAGATTAACTGCTGTGAAATTTTTTATAAAGTACCTCCTTAAGCTGTTCTTTTCGAAGTTTATATTCTCTTTTCTGGGACTCCAAAAAGCTATTCAGTTCTTTCTTCTGTTGGGCCTGAATATGTTGCTGGAATTTTTTCTCCTCATTGGCCATCACTTTAGCCTGTAAGAAATTTTTTAAATGGAGTACATTAGTTAAGCAGATTCAAAGCAGCAGTTTAATACATATCACCAAGGATACCTCTGTTTCCCAAGAACATAAAATTTGTATAAGCATTACCAAAAGGAGAATTCCCGTATTATTATGATTCAGATCTTTTACTATATGAATTTTAGAGAACCAGTAAAATTAAACTCACCTTTAAAATAAAATATATCATCTGTTTTACTTCTAATTATATACTCAATATATACCCATTGTAGAACATTTAGGAAATAAAAAAAACAAAAACAAGAAAAATCTTATATGATTTTAGCACCCAGAAATAGCCAATATAAACATTTTGGTGATATCCTTCCTAATTTTTTCATGCACATATATATATTTTTTAAACAAATCTGTAATCACATTGCAAATCTTGTTTCATGAATTGCTTTCCTAAATGTTAGTTTCTACCTCTTCTCAAGTTTAAAAATGCTACCTAAAACCCAATAGGATTCTAAATATCTGTACTTTCTTTCACCAAATTATTTCAAAATCAAGTATTTACACCATAAATTTTGCTAACTTCTCTACTATTGTGAGAGAGTGGTTCTTTTTTTGTGGGGGGAAAATATAAACAGGGTAACTATGATAATGCTTCAATGAGGACTAGCCAGACATATTTGATGATTTTATGTGAATTTACTGAGAAGCTTATGTTTTACTTGAAAAACATGACTCTCAAAATAAAATGTAACAGATGGGACACCAAAAACAGAAGAAAAGGTTTAGCATGACAAGACTCCTTAAAAATACATAATTATCATATTAAACAAATGGGCTAAATCTTTATTTTTTTAAATTTATTTAAAAAAGAGAGTCATGAATGATATTGAGACCTAAACCTCCTATTGATGGGTGATTTATCAAACTCCTCAATAACCAGGGTATCCAAAGGCCTAGAATAGTTGAATGACTTACCACTGTGACACTATAAAACTATTAAGTATCAGGAGATGATCTCATGTCCACTGGTTCCCAGACTTAGTACTTGATATTATTCACATTATATAAATATTTCTCCCTTTCCCCAATTAATTTGCTTGGTTCTGGGGAATAGATACACTAACATCAAAATGCTACCTTAATTCTGAGATGATCAAAAGCTAGAATAAATAAATTAGAAATACTGAGTCCTGGCTGGGTAACTCAGTTGGTTAGAGCATTGTCCTGATGTGCCATGGCTGCAGGTCTCATTCCTGGTTAGGGCACATACAAAAATCAACTAATGAATGCATAAATAAGTGGAACAGTAAAGCATTGTTTCTCTCTCTGTTTTCCTGTCTCTAAAATTCAGTCATTAAAAACATTAATACTGAATCAGCCACCTCTTTTTCCATAGCAGCCTGATGTTTTTTGATAAGTTTCTCCATTTCTGCAGCAAAGTTGTTACGTTGAGTTTCAAGATCTTTATCTAATCTGAGGCGATGTTCATCCATCTCAGCCTTTAGCTTATTTTCCAGAGTCATCAGCTGCTTTTGATGTTGCCGTCTCATTCTCTTATAGCCAGACATCTGTTCTCTAAGCTCAGAGTCCTGCTCATGTTCTTGCATTTGCCTTGTAACCTAGAAGAAAATAATAAAGCAAAATATTTTTCTTTTGAAAGAATTTTAGACCACTCTAGTATTAACTAAGTAGGTAATTAATATAAGAGATACCAGCTAGCAGTTTCCATTTAAATTTCCAGTGGGTCTTTTAAACAGACAAACTAGTTCTAAAATTTTTATTTTAGAACTAAAATGTAAAGGGACCTAGAATAGCTAAAACAATCTTGCGGGGGTGAAAAAAAATGGAAGACATACACTTCAGTAATCAAAATAGTGTGGTTGTAAGGATAGGCTGAGTAGATCAAAGGAACAGAATAAAATCTAGAAAAGACCCATACATATTCAGTCAATTGACTTCTACCAAAAAGTTAGTTCAAAGAAGAAAGAAAAAACTTTTTTTTTTTTTTTTAACAAATTCTACTAAAACAACTGGTGCTCTGCATAAAAAAATAAGTAAATAAGCCTCGACTCCTATATCAATCCACATACCAAAATTAATTTGAAAAGATCTATTTAATCTAAACATAAACCCCAGAATCCTATAGCAGAAGAAAACGTAGAATATCTTCACGACCTTGGGATAGGCAAATATTTCTTGGACAGTACACAAAACACACTGACTATAAAGAAAAATATATATATAAATTGGATTTTTAAATTGAGGTGAAATTCATGTAATATAAAATTAATCACTTTAACGTGAACAACTCAGTAGCATTTAGTACATGCATAATTTTATGCACCCACTACCTGTATCTAGTTACAACATATTTTTATCACTTCAGAAGAAACTCTTTATCTGTTACACAGTTACTCCTTATTCTCCCCCCTTCAGGTAACCACCAATCTGTCTTCTGTCTCTATGGATTTATCTATTCTGGATATTTCATATAATCAGAATCATATAATATATGACCTTTTGTGTCTGACTTCTTTCATTTAGCATGTTTTCAAGGCTTATCCATGTTGTATGTATCAATACTTCATTCCTTTTTATAGCTAAATAATATTTCATTGTATGCATATGTAATAAATTGTTTATCCATTCACCCATTGTGAATATCTGTGTTGTTTCCACCTTTTCGCTATTGTGAATAATGCTGCTATGAACTTCTGTGTACATGCACTTGTTTAAATACCTGTTTTCAATTCTTTGGGGTACATACCTTGGAGTAGAATTGCTGGGTCATATGGTAATTTTATGTTTAACTTTTTGAGGAATAATCAACTGTTTCCACAGCAGTCAAACCATTTTACATCCTACCAGCAGTATACAGGAGTTCCAATTTCTCTGTAGGCTCTCCAACACTTATATTCCTTTTTTGTTTGTTTGTTTTTTAAATTGCCATTCTAGTGGGTGTGAGGTGGTACTTCACTGTAGTTTTGATTTGTATTTCCCTAATGAATGATGATGTTGAGCATCTTTTCATGTGTTTGTTGGCCATTTGTGTATCTTCTCTGGATAAAGGTGTATTCAAAGTGTAAAGGTCCTTTACACCCATTTTTAAACTGGGTTGTTTAAACTGTATTTTAAAACTAAAAATTAATTTCTCATCAAAAAAACAGTAAGAAAAAGAAAAGGTAAATCATAGATGGAGAAAAAATATTTGAAAGACTTATACAAGATATAATATTTGTATTTAGACTATATAAAGAACTCCTACAAATCAATATTAAAAGGATGAACTTCTGAATAAGAAATCAGGCAAAAGACCTGAAGAGACACTTCACTAAAGAACATACATGAACAGACAATAAGCACAAGAAAAGGTGATTATGGTGATAGCTTTAGTCATAGGGAAATGTTAAAAAAAAAAAAAGAACCCACTATGAGATTCTATCTGACACCCACTAGAATGGCTTTAAAATAAAAAAGACTGACAACACCAAATGTTGAACAGGATGTAAACCAACTTCAACTCTTAGACATTGCTAATGGGCATGTCAAATAGTACAACCATTTTGGAAAACTGTTCAACAGTTTCTTATAAAGTTAAACATACATATATTCTATGAGTCTGCAATTCTACACGTAGGTATTTACCAAAAAGAAATTAAAACACCACGTTCACATAAAGACTATACAAGAATACTTTTAGCAACCTATAATAACTCAAAATGAGATTCAAACCAAATGCTTATCAACAGAAGGAATGAATAAATGGAAAATTATTCACAGTAATAAAAAGACTGAACACAACAACATGAATCTCAAAAACATTAAGCTGAGCAAAATAAGCTCAACTCAAAAGAGTACATTGTGTGATTGTATTTATATAAAATCAAAAAACAGTTAAACCTAACAATAGTGAAGAAACAGAAAGTGGGGTCATGAAAATGGAGAACTACCTAAAAAGGGGTATGAAGGGAACTTTCTGGGATGACAAGAAATCTTACACATCCTGTTTTTTTAGGGGATGGTTAAGTTTCCCCGCAAACTGGCCCCTCTCTATGTATTTATTAAAATAGTCATGGAAAAAAATTAAGCAACTTTTGCCACCTGCTCTGTTCAAAAAATTATTTAGATGTTGCAGAATAGTAGGAATGACCTGAATTATAATGGGAGATGGTGTTCTTGACTCCATGTCATACAGATTCACAGGTCACAGAGCATGGAATTTATAAAATCTGCATATGTAGCTGATACTTCAGATAACTCCCATATCTTTTTTTCTTTCTGTTATATTTTCCAATATCCTACCTTTCCTATAATATCTTAATATAATTTCTCTCTACCTAGAATCCTTTGCTATGTTTTGGTCCTACCTATCTGACTGATCAGGGTTATAAGTACCCCATTAAAAATGTTCCTGTAATGAACAAATAATTTTTATTGTTATTTGAAAAAAATCAGACGACCTACATTTTGAGTATATCAAATTGCATCACCTGACATTTCCCAAACATTCCCACTCATTTTGGTTAACCTTAATATTTCCTTATTGTTAATTCTTATATGGAAATAACATTTCTCCTCTCCCTCAAGCCTAAAACTAATTATTTAAGGCTCAAACAATTTGTTTTATAAATACTTCCTTTATGCTTTGAATTAAAAGTAATGTGAATTCCTACTTAGTGTCTTGTAGTCCTCTTAAGTGTTTAATATATTCTAACATATTAGTTATTTGTGTACATGTCTTGAAGATATTATTAGTTTAATGTCTCTGTTTATAATCCTTCTCATAATAGGCACTTGAATACTGAATGAATGTTTTGCAAAATAACAAATACAAAAAAATAGTTATATTTGAGTATACAGATGACAAGGTCCAACATGAAAAATATACTTTTAATTCCAGTGAAGTACATACCAGTGATGCTGTCCGTATAGTAGCAAAATGTTCTCGATTACGATAGTGTGATTTATGACGAGACACTTGGGGCGGAGATTGTGGATCTGATGCTCTTGTTCTAGGATCTCCCTCCTCTCTGTAATTTTCTTCCTCCTAGACAAAGAAAGAGCAACACTATTTCAGGTGAACAGAGTTTATTTGAACTTTCAAGAAAATTAGTTTAAAAACAACCTGACCAACAAATCCCAGATATAATTGTAAAAGCAAAAACAAACTAAAATTGGGAACACTGATATTTTATTTTCAACATAGTTAGAATTAGGAAACATTATTTCTTCAGTGTATGAAATAGCACACAGATTCAGGATAAAAAAATATATAAGGCTAGATTTATATGTCCTACTCATATAAAATTGCAAATTTTTAGTATGACTTCAAAATAATGACAATGAAACCTGCAGCAGTATTTTAAATAGCAGTAATAAAATTAATTACTCTAAGGCTCTTGGGTTTTAGAAGCAATAATATAGCTTAAAAACAACTTTATAATACTTCTGCCATTTGTCCAAGTAATAAAAAAACAGTTGTAAATTGATGTCTTTCCTTATATATTCCCTGAGTTCCTTAACTAAAGAGAAGTCAATTAAGTAGCAACCAAACTAATTGTGGGACTAATCTTTTATATTGCTGATTCTATTGTATGAATATAAAAATTAACCATGATTTTGCTCTGAATAACACTTACTGCTTATCTAACCATTCTTAATAAATTTTTGTATGTGGTAAAATATATGTAATACAAAATTTGCCACTTTAACCATCTTTAAGTATACAAGTCAGTGGCATTAATTACTTTCTTAATGTTGTGCAACCATTGCCACTATTTCCAGAACTTTATTATCACCCCAACTGGAAACTCTGTATTCATTAAAAAAACCTCTCTATTGTACCCTCTACTCAGGCCCTGGTAACCTTTAATCTACTTTCTATCTCTATGAATTTGCCTATTCCAGATATTTTATATAAGTGGAATTACACAGTATTTGTCTTTCTGCATCTGGCTTATCTTTCTTAGCATAATGTTTTCAAGGTTCACTCGATGTAGTGTGTATCAGAATTTCATTCCTTTTTATAGCTGAATAATATTCCATTAGATGTATATACCACATTTTGTTTATTCATTCATCTGTTGATGGACGCTTGTATTGGTTCCATCTTTTAGCTAATGGGCCTACTAACATTTTAGGTAATGCCACAATTGTTAAGTTAAAAAGGAAGCATTCCTATTCACTGCTGAAAGGAGCTAGCTGACCTTCAAATAATTTCAAGAAAATTTAAAATTTTGCATTTGAAAGTGCAAATAATAATGTAGCAAACACCCCCATTTCTGATACCCAGAATTTATAATTTTCTGCAACTACACTCAATTTTATTTTAAAATTGTAAACATGGATAATGCAAAAGTTACTTTCTTTTTTTAATCCTCATCCAAGGATATGTTTTTCATTGATTCTAGAGAAAGGGGAATGGAGAGGAAGAGGGAGAGAGTAAAAGAAACACAGATTAGTTGCCTCACGAATGCGCCTGACCAGGAATTGAATCTGTGACCCTTTGGTGCATGGGACGATGGTCTAACCACTGAGCAGCACTGGCCAGGGCCAAATGTTACTTTTTATCATTCTAACCCTTTCTCCTACTCCCCAAAGGCAACCATTATCACTAATTTCATGTGTATACTTATTATTTTCAAATACTTTATTTTCCATCTAAGTAACTTCAAATAATAAATTATATCGTATTTCTGTATTTCTTTCTTCTAAGATTTTTGAAATAATCTTTTTGTATTCTCAAAACATTAGTTTCCCAAATGCAGATTATTACACTGGGAATTAGCAAGCCTGTGTTTCAAACTTCTAAAACACAAAAACAAAACAAAAAACTTCTCTTAAACTAATCAGATGAAGAAAATTATTTACCAAAGTTGAAAATTATTTACCAAAGTTGAAAATTTTCACTGAAACCCAAATACTCACAGGTTTTAAGTGGATGACAGAACTATTAGACATCACTGTATGATCTCCCTCCATCATGTCCAGCTCACTCTTGTCATCTGAGGCATCTGGAAGACTGTTAACACTACTGCTTTGGCTACTGGCACTAATGGACATACTGGGAATAGACTGATTACTTCCAACACTATTGACTGTTCCTGTTCGTCCAACGCCATGATCTTGTTCCTAAGGGAAAAGAGCATCAGGTTCAAATATCTGTATTTCTTTTGAATTCTTAAGTATAAGTACCTAATACATTACTTGACGTAGTCTTTAGAAAGTCAAAGATCTATCATGAGAAATTCCTTTTATTCGCCAAGTAAGTTTACCAACTGTCACTTGACAGTAAAGCAAATAAAAATGACCAGCAAGTGTGAAAACCAACCATGTGAAAAAGTTAATCAGTTTTGCGTTATTTCTAAAGCGTAGCATTTTCTCTAAATTGTTTGACATTTTTTGAAATCCATTTTTACCACACATCTCATGGGCTATATAGAAAGATGCTGCTCATTTCTCAGTGATTCCCATGGTTAAAACAAGCCCTTTAATTTTTTTTATCTTGTAAACAACTCCTTTTAGTTGTTATTTTTATTGAAGCCTTTTGTAATTATATTTTCCTTTCTCCCTCAGAATATAGTCTCTACTCTATCCTCTACCACCAAATAATTAACATTAATTCCTTATCCATTTCTGTGTAAATTAAATATTACCTATATATTTAATCGTAATCATAAAACTGTTTTTCTGAAGTAACCAGGAAAGCAATGGTATCTGGGTACCAACATTATAGTAGTCTTACCATATCAAAATTCTATAAGATATGCAGACTTTAATTAATATACACCCATGGTGTGTATATCTCGCTACATACAGGTATGTATCTGTATCTATATATCTATATCTACCTTTCTATCTGAACTTATATCCCTAGCCTATCAGGGATGCTACATTAGAATTACAGATTTAATTACATTAGAATTTTATTAATTTCACAACTTTGCTAAACTATTCATATGTTTAAAATAGCTCCAAACAATTTTCTAACGATTATTATAAGAACTAATAAAACAAAATAAAACCAAAACCAAAACTGTAAGTCAAGAAAAGTAAGTAACTATTGCTCCTTGTTTCAGAATGCAAAGTGATCACCTTCACTGGAACACAATACAAAAGAATCCAAGTTTTGGAATTCTAACAAGAGCAAAGAAGAAAATGGAAAGTATTTAGAGTGAAAAAGATAGTTCCACAAATAAGCTTCTATCTGTCTATCTATCTATCTATCTATCTATCTATCTATCTATCTATCTATCTATCTATCTATCTATCATCTATCTATCAATCAATCAATCATCTTGCTGTCTATCTCCTTGTGAGGAAGTTCTTTAGCATTTCTATTACAAATCTGTATTTCCATTCTCCCTAACAGGCAACATGGACAGACTGTGGCCTTGAGAATGAATGATATATGAATTTGAACCTACATACCCTTACCTAAGGTTAGTTAACCATTCTGAGCTTTGCTTTACTCATCTATAAAATGAGTATTTTAAAGCTGTGTAGATGGAATAAAATTGTACAGAACTGAAAAGAATCAAGTGCCTATGGTGACAGAGTAGAATGCTCGATAACTTTGTAATAACCTCTGGCAACTTCCACAGTTTATAACTTCAAATGCTTCCAAAGGTATGTCCCATGAAATTGGAGAATCAGGCAAAAAAAAAGGGTTCAGTGGCCAAGAACTTTGAGAGGGACTAGATTACTATGCAAATGTACACTATGAAGGGTTTGGGTCTAAATAATGCAAAATCTTTTCCCCACCTGGGATCCTTACAGGACCAGTGTTAAGAAAACACAATCTAGGAACCACTGATCTAAAAGATTTGTGGCAAGACAAACTGCCTAAGTAAAAAAGCCAATAAAGAGAGCTCAACATTTCAGTAATTTCTAACCTATTACCTCTTCTTCTTCCTGTGCTTCTACTGCTGGTCCATTATGTGCCTCCTGGAAAAGGAGTTTCTTCATCTTTCGATATTGCAGATTGTCCAGCTCTCTTACTGCATCCTTTGTCCTTTGAATGAGATCTATTAACACTGTTTCAGGGCGCTCCCGAAGAACAAACATGTGCTGGATAACAGAAGTTAAAAGTCAGGATGAAACCTATACTGTGTATTTTTTCAATTAGTACAAATGTACCCCTTCCCTTTCTCAGATCCTAGAATTACTACCTTACATAATTATGATAGATAATGCATATAATCTATGGCTATCTAATTCCATTATACTTCTGAATTCTTTCATTTACAAAGTTGTGATTTACACATACATACTCGGTGCCTATGTAACTACCGTGCACATTTTATAAAAACTTTGAACATTATACCTTTGTTGGCCAACTGAAAATGCTGAGTTAAAATAAAAAAAAGGTCTAATTAAGTTCTAAGAATTAAGTTCAGTTATTAAATTAGAGCCCTAAATAAGGGCTAAATAAAGGTTTACATACTCTAGAACTGCTGATTTCATAGATGAGGCATGTTCAGTTCTGAGTTAGGTTTCAACAGGCATTTACTGATGGTGGTTTTATGTCATATAAACTTGAACATTATGGGCTCCTTTACATGTTGCATAAGCAACACTTTATAAAACACTAGCAGCTGATTAAAAGCCATTATATTATTAGTGATTTTTACTAATAACATTTAATAAAGCTCAACCTTATCAAGTACAGAAAAGTAGGAAGAACAATTCCACCATTAAAATTACCACTGTTAAATTTTGGTATATTTCTTTTCTTTCGTTCTTTCTTTTTTTCAATTACAATTGACATTCAATATTATATTAGTTTCAGGTGTACAGCTCAGTAGGTGTTTTAAAAACTTATGAAGTAAAAAAACACACCAAAAATAAACTTATGAAGTGATCCCCCCCAATAAGTCTAGTACCCTCCTGGCACCATACATAGTTATGACAATATTATTGATTACATTCTCTATGCTGTACTTTATATCCCCGTGATGGTATATTTCTTTTCAGAAATTCTCTATGTATAGATTATGTTTTATAAATACACAGTTATAATATAGATTGCAGAAAGATACCTTCTACCTTGAGTTCATGAGATGCCCTTGAATTCTCATAACACTTTTACCTTCTTAGTTTAAATTTATTTCTTTGCTGTGCAGAGTTATAACTATATATTTTATTCTACTTTCATTGTCATAGTATCATGTTATTTCAATTCATACACACAATGCCTATAGAATATCACATCAAATGTTTATGCCAAAATTATTTAACCACTATCCTAATTCTGGATGGTTATTTCCAATTTTTATTTCTGAGATAAACAGCTTCATAAATAAAAAACCTTTTTTCTATTATTATTTTTTCTTTATGATGGACTTCAACAGAAATGTAATTAGGTCAAAGAAAAAGAAGCACTTGATTACTTCCTGTCATTTTGAATAAGGCTATGCCAACACACTCAGTATTCAATACAGGTAAATGAATACTACATGCAGACTTGGGATCTAATGTCCAAATACCAAACACCTGGCCCTGGTGGGTTGGGTTTTTATCAAAAGAGATTACGCTTAGACAAGTGTAAGAAGGCGGTCACATTCTCCCTTTTTCCTGGGCCTTAGCTTCTTGGTATGTACCACTATCTACAATACTCAGTCTTATTATTATTATTATTTTTAAATCCTTGCCTGAGGACATATTTATTGATTTTAGAGAGAGAAGAAGGAACAGGGGGAGAAGGAGGGGGAGAGAGAGAGGTTGAGAGAGAAACAATGATCAGTTGCCTCCTGTACACACCCTGAACAGGGGATCAAATCTGAAACCTTGACATGTGCCCCAACTGAAAATCAACCCACACCCTTTATGGTGCTTGAGGCAACGCTCCAACCAAGTGAGCCATGCGCTGGGGCCAATATTCAGTCTTATCAAAAAATAATATATTTCTAAGTTTGATAATTTTCTACATATAGATCTTGCTTATTTTTCACTAACATAATTCCTAGGTATACTGAACATTTTATTGCTGTAATGAGTACCTATTTATTCAGGCTTTCATTTCTGAGACCATGAGTGAGATTACTGCCTAGAATTCCCCAAGCATTACTGAAACTTTATATTGCTCTTCAACATACTATGGTTGCAAATAATACTATTGAAAAAAAAAAAAAAAATATATATATATATATATATATATGAAGATTTCCTCTGTATCTTTAACTGCTGTGTATCAGTGAAAATAAATTGAACCTCTTGAAATTCTAAAACATTCATGTAATAATAGCCTACTTATATCTTATAGTGAAAAATCAACAAGATTGCTTAGGGTCACAAAGAGAGAGCCAAATCCTGCTTCCTAATAATGTCTTATCTAGATGTTTTAAGAAGTATATTAATTCCAACAATACTATTGTTATTAATAAAATGGTGAGCCTCCAAATGAAATAATAATTTAAAATATATATACATATATATATCTTTATTGATTTCAGAGAGAGGGAGAGAGGGAGGCAGAGGGAGAGAGACAGAAACATCAATGATGAGTCATTGATTGGCTGCCTCCTGCATGCCCCACACTGGGGATTGAGCCCAAAACCCAGGCATGTGACCTGATTGGGAATTGAACCTTGATCTTCTGGATCATAGGTCAACACTCAACTGCTGAGCCAAGCTGGTCAGGCATGAAATAATATTTTTTTGAGAATATAAAGGATATACTAATAATGTATTTAAAATAGGCAACCAAATCTATTGCACACTGAACAGAATTTACAAGATTTTTTAATTTTCATTAAGTTGGAAAAATGTATTTCCAGAAAATAAACAAAAATATGATATCCATTTTTAAGTTTCTTTTGAAATCTCTTTTCTCCCACAATATTTATATAAATATATCACATAATTTTTCTTTCTCTCATATTATTTTAATATAGGACAGATTAATATATAAAGTAGTATAAGTATAAAAATTAAATTAAAAATTAAACTATGTTTTGTCAACTTTGAAATAAAACATTCCATATAAATTAAAATTTATAATTATAACTCATGAATATATTCTTTCACATATAAAAATTTGGTAATATTTTGAATATTTGGCTATATATTCTATTCAGCCATGGTAAAACCAGTTAATCAATTTTGAATAAAACAAATGAAAAAACTTAGCACCTGAGAAAAGTTCCAAACAATATTTTAGTAAAAACTAGTAGAGCAGCCCAGCCGGTGTGGCTCAGCGGTTGAACAGAGACCTAGGATCCAGGAGATCAAGATTCCATTCCCAGTCAGGGCACAGGCCCAGGTTGTAGGCTTGATCCCCAGTAGGGGGCGTGCAGGAGGCAGCTGATCAATTATGACTCTCATCAATGATGTTTCTATCTCTCTCCCTCCCTTTCTCTGAAATCAATAAAGATATATTTAAAACCAACCCCCCCCCAAACTAGTAGAGCGTTCTTAATACGGATTCAGAATCAAAGAGAAATAAAGTACATTCTTTTTTTTTTATCCTCACCTGAGGATATTTTTTCCATTGCTTTTCAGAGACTGGAGGGGAAAGAGAGGAAAAAACATTGATGTGAGAGAGACACATCGATCGGTTGCCTCCCACATGCGGCCCAGTCGGGGTTGGGGATCGAGCCTGCAACCAAGGTCTGTGCCCTTGGCTGAGATTGAACCCAGGACCCTTCAGTCTGCGAGCCAATGCTCTAACCACTGAGCAAACTATTTCTTTAAAATAATTTCTTGGGTAGAAAACCGACATAAGAGTATAATAGAACTAACCTTTAAAAGTTCCTCTGATGTAGGGCGATCTTGAGGGATTTTCTGGAGGCAAGAATCTACAAAGTTGCGAAAATAATCAGACCTATTGTAAAGGAAAGTATCAAGTGAACATATTGCTATTTCCTTTAAAAACAGATCCACAAATCAAGGTATGTATCTACTGGTGGGAGGGTTGGGATGGAAAAAAAATATTAAAAAAAGGCAGACACAATACACTATATATTTCATGTAAATCTATGAAGACCATCTAAAGCAACCAGTGAACCTTTACCATTTTTCAAAGATAAACTTGCACAGATTATTTAAAAATCCTGCTCCCACATAAAAACACAACTCATTCTAAATTGAGGCAAAATTAGGGAAGTCAATTTTTTTCTGCTTTGCATTCAAATCTAAAATAACATTTTTCTCAATTTGTTTTCTCGTATAAGCCATCTCTTTTTTATTTGCTTCTTGGGTTATCTCCTATATTGCATGTTTCAGAACATCACTCTATTAGCTTTGGAGAGAGCATTTTGCATATCTGAGTATTTGGTGTCCCTGAACAAATGGATAGAACTTCCATTAAACCCAAAAAACCAATTAAGATATTTTTAAAAACATATGAAGTCTGCAACGTATTATTATAGTATGTAATCAATGAAGAGTTCAGTGAGCAAGACAGTAAGTAATAATTACTCCATCAATGTTTGTCTTAAGTATCAAATAACATTTATGTCCCTTGTGCAAGAAAATATTTCATTTTGAATCCCCAAAGTATCACAGTATAAAGACAATCTGTGTTCAATATATTATTTATATGTCCCATAATAGTAAACTCTGCCAAAAAAATTCCTTCTACATATATCTAAATAAGTAGTAAAGACCTTTTAATGTGACCTAATTATGTAACCTTTAAAAAAATAAAGTATTCCTAATTTATGCAACTGCCTGAAGAATTAATTTCCCACTAAAATTTTCTATCACTAAAAATTCTAATTTTCTAAAACTGTCAATCTGTTCTGCATAAACTTCTTTACATAAATGAACTTAATTTTATCAAGGAAGTACTAGGAAAAGGAACATCAGAGCATTCTGAATAATAAATAACACAACTAGAATGATCCCAAAGTTACAAATTATCTGATAATCTGGTAAGTCAAGTCATTTTACCTATGCTTTATACCATATAAATTATAAACTGTTCTCAGCAAAATATCACTACAGGTATGGCAATCTACATATTTTAGTTATAAAATAGTAATGTTTAAATTGTGCCAGCTATTATATAATCAGGGTTATAAATATTCCTAAAGTTCAAAGAAAATATAAGATATGAATTTTTGTAAAAAGCAATACTTTTATCCATGTGGCATCACTGAGATATATATGCTATGAAAAGCAGACACAATCAAGGATAAACGTGATATAAGGGTAAAATAACCCTATTTTATTTTATTATTTTATTTTATTTTATTTTATTTATCTTTGCCTATAGTTTATTTAATACAGGTTCACTGAGGGAATTTCACAAACCAATAGTACACAGTCTCTTAATAAGCCAATAAAAATAATATACTCCAAAGCAATGATGAATTAATTACACAATTTGTTACAGGAATAAACCTATTTTAATATCTCTTCAGGTAGTAATACATTTTACCTAGTTGAAATGAAATCATTTTGATAACATTATGAGAAAGCATTTAATTTATAAAATGTTGAGTAATGTATCTCTTAGCAATACTCACCATTCATTAGACTGTAGTGTAGGGGATTCATTTTGGGCTATGTGATATAAGGCACTCATTGCATTCATATTAAATAAAGGAGGCTTCCGTTCCGCTGTAAAAGAAAGAAACTTGCCTGTTAAAATACATGCTTGTTATAAAGGGGCACACAAATATTGTTAATATTGTTAAAGATTTTTCTTTTTTTAAATAATCTCAAACTTAGCAAAAATACTGCAAGTTGAGTTCAAAAACATTGTCAAGTAAATCAATTTAGAGTAAAATGCTGAACTGATGTCCCACCATTCCTAAATACTTTAAAAGAAGAACATTCTACTAAAGAACAGTAATATCTCTATTAAATCAGGCCATTAATGCTGATACATAACTTTCATCTAATCCTCAAACCCACTCACGTTTCAATCAAATATCAAATAATGTCCTCTGTAGCAAAAGTGAGCTTTGATCATTTGTGTCCTTCAAGGATATTGTCTATTTTATCTGTTGTTAAATTTATTAACATAAAATTATTCATACTTAAAGGACTATATCCTTAGAATCCTTTTGTACCTGTAAAATCTGTAGTGATGTCACCTCTCACACCTGATATTGATAATTTATGTCTTTTTTTCCTGATCAATCTAGCTAGAGGTTTACCAATTACCTCGAAGAACTAGTTTTTTATTTCATTGATTTTCTCTATTGTTTTTTTCTCTTTAATTGATTTCTGCTTTGATCTTTTTACTTTCTTCTGTTTTTTTTTTTAATATGCCTTTATTGATTTCAGAGAGAGAAAGAGATAGAAACATCAATGATGAGTCATTGATCGGCTGCCTCCTGCATGCCCCCTACTGGGGATGGAGCCCGAAACCGGGCATGTGCCCTGACCAGGAATCGAACCGTGATCTCCTGGATCACAGGTCAATGCTCAACTCCTGAGCCACACAGGCCTGGCCCTTCTGGTTATTTTGAGTTGAATTTGCTCTTCTTTTTCTAGTATCTTAAAGTAAAAGTTGAAGTTATAACCTTGACAATTCTGAAGATAGGAGATTTTTGAATGTCCCCAATATGAGTTTGTCTTATGATTAAATTTAGGTTAAACATCTTTGGCAAGTATCTCAGAAGAAATATCACAGAAGGAGATGTTATGGTTTTCTCATTGTTCTATGAGGCAGTGCATGATTTCAAATAGTCTTGTTCTGATGGTTGATGGCATTCACTTGGACCACTTAAGGCCATGTCTGACAGGTTTCTTCACAGTAAAGTTTCTCTTTCTTTCCTTGGCAAGAAGATACTGTAAATCTATATAAACAGTTTTTCATAAAACTTTCATTTTATTCTTTATTTACTGTATAGATTTATATATTTTTATTTTATTTAATAAACTATAATCTGCTATCATTTATTTTGATATTCAAAAATGCCTCATCATATTTGATCAATGAGAATGTTTTTATCCTGGCTTCTGTCTTTCTGACATGGTCTCATCATTCCTTGATCACCTCCTTGCTTTCTGGCACAGCAAGATGTTTCAGGTTCATCTGATACTTTCCCTACTTCAAACACTGAATCAATTTTTCTCCAAAAGCTGTCATAGTAAGTGTGCTCACTGCTACTGAGGTATCACTACTCTTAGATCCTCTCGGTGGATAAAGTTAGGGAACACATACAGATACACAATATACTGGGTATCCCCCAAAAATGTATATACACTTTAACAGCTGATAGCTCAATTTTGAAAATGAAATGCATTTTAATAAACCCTGCCTTTATAATTTATTCAAAGTGTGTGTATACATTTTTGGGGACACCCTGTATTTATACACATACATACACATTAAACACCTATATGTGTATTGAAAACAATTGTGTTCACTACAGTATTTCAAATCCAATCCAATACCTTAATATTTATTCTAGCTCTCTCTCTTTCCATTATTGGTAACACCTTATCTCTAACAATGAAAAACCTTGCTCTGATTACCCTTAATGTATTTTCCCCCTGTATGTAACTAGTCTCCTGTCATTGCCACTACCCTTTTTCCTGAGCAGATATCCCCCCTCTCCCTGTTGCTTTTGAAACCCCATTCCAAGTCACTCTACAGTATGAATGTCCTCTTCATCCACTCAGGTTCTTTTCATTTTTAAAAAATATGTTTTCTTTTTATTGATTCTAGAGAAAGAGGAAGGGAGAGGGAGAGAGAGAAACATCAATGTGAGAGAGAAACATAGATTGGTTGCCTTCTGCATGCACACACCCAGACCAGGGATTGAACCCAAAACCTGGGCATGTGCCCTGACCAGGAAAAGAACTGGTGACCTTTTGGTACAAGTGATGATGCTCAACCACTGGCCAAGGCGATACACTCAGTTTCTGATACTCCCCCAAACTGCAGTAAGGCCCTCCTCATTAGTCGTCATGAGAGAAAATCCTTTTTTTTGATGAGGCACTGAGTGTGTAGGTCCACCCCCCAAAATGGACACCCTCTTTAGACTTTGACACCATACAATAGATCACTCTCCCTACTGTCACCTTCTCACCCTACTTGGACTCTGATACCCCAAGCTGAGCCAACTTTAGGTATGAGTGACTCAGTCACCCTCCTTGGGCTCTGTATCTCCAAACCTAATGGCCCACCTGCACAGATACCCTCATTAGGTTCTGTTTCCTCATACCAGGACATTGGTCTGTGGGAACTCCCTCCTTTAATCACATGACCCTGATACTCCATCCTGGGGTACCATGGCTCATCAGCTAATTAGTTTGGGAAGGGGACAGAGTTACTGAGAAATTCTGATTTTGAATGAAATAACTTGTTTCTATGATAACTTATTAGAGTATTTAAATTTTTAACTTATTAGAGTATACCATTTTTAAGTGGTATACCATCAACACATCAATCCATACTATGCTTTTTGATTTTGTAATTTACTATAAAATTGAACATCTCTCAGGACAGATCTTTGACCTCCTTGGCTAAATTTATTCTTAGGCATTTAACTCTATTTGATGTGGTTGTAAATGGGACTGTTTTCTTAATTTCTTTCTGATAGTTTGTTGTCAGTATATAGAAATGCAACTGATTTTTATATATGGACTTTGTATCCTGAAACTTTACTGAATTAGTTTATTAGTTCTAACAGTTTGTTGGTGGAGTCTTTAAAATTTTCTATGTATAATGTCATGTCATCTGCAAATAATGACAGTTCTTCTTCCTTTCTGATTTGGATGCCTTTTGTTTCTTTATCTTGCCTTAAACTGCTCTGGTGAGGACTTCTAATACGACATTGCATAAAAGTAGCAAGAGTGAGCTCCATATGGGATCTGGATGGCTGCAGATTAGGTGGAAGCTACACTCACTTCCTCCCAGGACCAAGCTGGAATTACAACTAAAGTATAGAAAAATCATCCTGAATAACTAACTGCAGAGTAGCTGGAGAGAAGCCTTACAATAAAGGACTTACAGAGGAGGCCACACTGAGACTGGTAGGAAGTGCAGAGGTAGGTGGGAGAGGGTAGGTCAGGCTCCCACAGGCAGCAGCTGAAGTTCCAGAGGGATATCTCAGCTGCTGGGGGGTCCCCCTGAGGACTCTGGGGTCTAAACCACAAGCATGCCTTTCCAGCCCAGAGCACCAAAACTGGGAAAGGTGCCCACATAACATCTTGCACATTTCCCAGTTTTGGTGGGCTGGGCTGGGAAGTTTCTGTCCACCAGGAGATATGCCTAGAAACACAGGCACCCCCTTAAAGGGCAAACTAAAGGGGTAACACACAAAATTTTGCTTGCAGCCACTCACCCTGGGCTCTGGAGGAGAAAGGGCAGAATGGACTAGAGCTGCATGAGGACAGTCTGCAGTTGGTGGCTCTGGGGAGAGAGCTGAAAGGTCAGCCGCCAGGATCCCTGTGCTCAGTCATTCCCCCATACTATAGAAGCCACCTTTCCCAGGCAAAGCATTCTCCTCCAGGCAGCATCAGCCTGGGGGGAGGCAACAGTCCCACCACCCTCCCACTGGAATCCCTCTCGCCCCACCCATGGAGTTTAAGCCCTGCTGAGTACGCCTGAGGCTCTTTAAGTGACTGAGCCTAACAGTCCCAGGACCCTTCAGTCCAAGGGCCAAAGCTCTAACCACTGATCAAACAGCTAGGGAAAAAAACCTTTATTTTAATAGCCTATTTTAAATTAATAACAACTAAAGTTGAACATACTTTATTTTATTTTATTATTATTTTTTAAATATATCTTTATTGATTTCAGAGAGAGGAAAGGAGAGGGAGAGAGAGACAGGCAGAAACATCAATGATGAGAGAGTCATTGGGGATCGAGCCCGCAGCCCGGGGATGTGCCCTGACCGGGAATCGAACCTTGATCTCCTGGATCCTAGGTCGATGCTCAACCGCTGAGCCACGCCCGGCCGGGCTGAACATACTTTAAAGCTTACCTATTTCCTCCCCACAATCCCTTTGTTTTGTTGTCACAATTACATCTTCATATTCTGTGTATCCATTAACAAAAATTACTGTTATTGTTATTTTCATTTGTTTTCTTTTTATTCCTTAATATATTTCTGAAATATTATACCCTCAACACACTATACCTTTACAATCAGAAAAAAATAGTAAATTTTATTTTTATAATGACAATTGTACAATCATGCATATATAGCCTGAAAAACAAACTAGGGATCTTTTTCATCAAACTGTAAACAAACATACAAACTCACCTTTAAGATTTCCTGGTTGTAAGACAAAACCAAGTTATTTCAACCTTTATGATAACAAACTATAAGTGAGTCATATTTATTTAGATCTGTATTTATCAAAACCAAAGATAGTACAATTGATTTAAGTTTGTTCTTTCTCCTATACTATAAAAAAAAATTTGCTTTGACTCATTATCTCTAATTTAAAGTAGAAAAGTATGTAATAGATGTATTTCCTAAGACTGCAAATCTAATTTGCAATGAAAATCATGCCTCTAGACTTGTACTGTCTAACAAGGTAGCCACTAGCCACATGTGACTATTTAAATGCAAACTTGCCCAGCCAGTGTGCCTCAGTGGTTGAGCATCAACCCATGAACCTGGAGGTCAAGGTTTTCCTGGTCAGGGCACATGGGTTTTGGGCTCAAGCCCCAGTAGGGGGCATATAGGAGGGCAGCTGATTGATGATTCTCTCACATCATTGATGTTTGTATCTCTCCCTCTCCCTTCCTCTCTCTGAAATCAATAAAAACATATTTTTAAAAATGCAATTTAAATGAATATAAAAATTTAAATTTAATTCCACATTTCAAGTGCTCAAAAGTCACGTACAGAACACTGTTATCATTGAATAAAGTTTTATTGGCCTGTGCTACCCTAGACCTTTCCCCTGGAACCAGAATCAGTCTTAAAATATAGTTCCTGACTTAGCACTTCATAATTCAAAACATTTTAAGTGCGCTGGCCAGGTAGCTCAGTTGGCTGGAGTGTTGTCCTATACACCAAAAGGCTACAGGTTCAGTTCCAGGTCAGGGCACATACCTAGGTTGTGGGTTTGATCCCCAGTGGGGCGTGTATAGGAGGCAATCAATCAATGGTTCTCTTTCATCTCTCTCTCTCCTCCCCCCCCCTTCCTCTTTCTAAAAAATCAATAAAGCATATCCTTGGGTAAGGATGAAAAAACACACACAAAAACATTTGTAAGTAAAATCTTTCAAAAAGTGATTATAACACACTATTTAAAAAGTTGAAGATGACAAATATACACCTAAAACTCTAGTGCCTGATTCATTTAAAGTTATATACAAGTAGTCACATCTTCTGAAGTTGCTTTGTTATAAGTGTAAAGACACTTCATTATGAAGGAATTCTATTTTATAATAAAAAGCTAGAAAACCTAGAAAAAATAAGAAGCTATTCCACAGAAAGTGCATAGTTCAGATTTCTTTCTGAGCAGTACAATTAACTAATTAGAACTTTCTAACTAAGTAAAAATTAAAATACATCAATGCTATCTAAAGATCATTAATGTAATTTCACTATCACCAAGGGGCACCATATGTAAAAATGCCCCATGGGCACATTGCTAATATTAAGTAGCGTCTCTACATTTATACCCAGGTTTGTTTTATTTATTTATTTACTTATTTATTTATTTATTTAATATATCTTTATTGACTTCAGAGAGAGGAAGGGAAAGGGAGAGACAAAGATAGAAACATCAATGATGAGAGAGAGTCATTGACTGACTGCCTCCTGCACATCCCCCACCGGAGATCAAGCCCACAGCCCAGGCATGTGCCCTGACCAAGAATCAAATCGTGATCTCCTGGATCCTAGGTTGATGCTCAACCGCTGAGCCACGCCTGGCTGGGCAATATCCAGGTTTCTTAAGAAATTAATTAGGATCTAACAATAAGAATAATAATCAAGGATAAAGGAATAAAGTTTAAGCCACTTAAAGATACTTTTAGTGGACATTTACTTTTATTCAGTTTCTTCCTAAGGTGAAGAAAACTCTTTGCAAATGTCCCAAAGAAATATAGTAGCTTTCTACTCACCCTTTGCAAGTAAAAAGGGTGGATCATTCCATTACTGACACACAAAAAAGATACTTTCAAATGGAAGAAACATTTTATAAACCTCAAATTGAGACCAAGATATCAGAAGAGAATGACATTATGAGAGTCTCCAAACCTCTGTTTACTGATGTTGTCATACTTAAATAAGATAAAAGGCCTGAAGGCAACGGTTAATGTAGAAATTCCAATGAAAGCAAAAATATCATTTTGGAAAAATATTAGACTGTAAGAAAGAAACAATCTGGTTGTAATGGGAATTATAATACTCATCTGCTGTGTACTGATAAGCAAGCTTTACTTTTATTTTTATCTAAATTTTCCTATCTACTTGTTTTAGAAAACTACTAACAAACCCAGGTTGATAAAGATTTCTCAAAATTACACATGGATTTTACTATTAACATGTTCTTTTCAATCTACTACTAGAATGGTTCAAGTAAATATTCCCAATATTTCCCACTTTTAAATAAAGTTTAATGGAATATTCTTGTAAAAAGAAAAAAGGGAAGGATACTGGGCTGATGAGGGTGGGAGGCAGGAAGCTTGGGGAATCAAGAGCAAGAAGATGTCCATCATCTTTGATTACAGTGACATTTCAATTACCCACTTGGCTCACAGTGGGAATGTAAGTAAAGTTATGATAGTCTACTGCCTTAAGCATAGTTCCATTTACAGGCAACAGGATAAAATGCTTGCACAAAATCAAAACACTACATACCATATGGTATGCAGCCTGACATCTAATTCTCTTGCCTAACTTAAGGTGATAAGTATCTTAGATAGAGGTAAGTAATTCATGAATGCTTTAGAGATCTGCTATAGATGATAAATCTAGTAATTATAGACATATTCCAGGTGTTTAACAAATATTCATTAATATTACAAATGGATACTTCAAACTTAATACCATAGTGGAAAATTACTTTAGACCTAATTTAACTGACCAAATATAATATACCTAATATATATAAAAATTAACAGGTCACCAAAATGAAAACTTGAATAAATATACTGTTCCCCTTAGTAACTGACACAAAAAATAAAAACCTGTAATTTGGTACAGAAGTTGATGTAAGACATTGATTAAATCTTACTCCCCAGTAATAAAAAAGAATGCTTACCTAGTTCAATGCATGTTATTCCAAGAGACCATACATCTACTTTGCCATCATACTGTCCTTCATCCATGGCTAAAATTACTTCTGGGGCCATCCTAAAACATAAAATGTCATTTAAAGTAAAAAAAAAAAAAAAAGAAAGAAAAAAGTGTATACTATTCACTAAAATATAATGACTATCTACATGGAGAACACCTGTGTGAATTGCAGACAATATATCAGGACATAATAATTTTTATAATAGAAAATGAATGCATTGCAGGTTGTGAGGTAAAAATCTACCATTGCACAGACAGTATGAGATTCATTCTTACTATCTGCATGATCACATAACAGCATCCTAAAGGATGCCACAAAGAACAGTTGTATTCTACATCTGTTCAGGTTCGCATGTTCTAATATTGTATATCCTTTAGGCCAGTGGTGGTTTCAGGATCCCATTACAAACATCTAATTTTTTGCTAGAAAGATCAAATCCCATCATTGGCACTGAATACCGGCAATTATCTTCCTTGAAGTTACAAGCTCACTCCATTTATTTCAGAAAATATTTGCCACAATAACCAACACTAAATTACCATAGTTTGTCAAATAAAAATAGTGTTCTGTGAAAAAAAGTGTCTAGGGAGGCTTACAACTAAAACAATCAGACAATTATCAAGCTTACAGGTGTCTTGGTTATAAAATCAAACATTAATTCATATCTTCAATTAGAGTCAAACATTTTTTATGGTACTTTAACCTTACACTTCATTTGCACTAGGAGTTAAGCACAGATAGACACTTAAAACACTCACTGACTTCTTCAATGGGACTGTCACCAGGCACCCCTGCGTGTTTGTGTGTGAACATGCGAAGACATATAAATACGTGCCTAGTTCCTCTGTTCCAAATACACTACATACAAATTAACAAATATGTAAATAAAGTAAACTTTCAATTGTCAATAATAGGGTGTTTCCAATGTGTTCTTTAAGATGTTGAAGTTTGGGAAATTACTAAGTTAAACAAAATTAAACAAGTAATTTTTTTTTATTGTAGAACTTTCCAGGGCTTTTAAAATATCTAATATTCATCATTAATTTCTAAAGAAGAGAACCATTAAGAAATAATATTTGCTCACAGAATCCCTTTTTTAAAGAGGGGAGGGAGACTCTATCTAAACTAAGGTCCACATAAAAAAATTTTGGTCTTCTAGAGCAGCGGTCTTCAAATTTTTTTTATTCACTTACCTCCAATGAATTTATAAAAACTATGTATCCCCTTGCACATCTGAGTTTATATGTAAATTTTAAAAATTTAATACTTGCAAAAGATACAATGCACAGCATACCTACACACATACAGTATTTTGTATATATGTTTTAAAGATACTTAAAACTTGGAGCTGCAGGATTAGCTCATTCAGTTTAATCAAAACCACTGCCATGTAACTTAACTAGCAAAGCCAGTCTTTAGGGTCATATCAATCAATAGAATCAGAATCATTTCTTCCAGAAAAAAATCTGACTTCATTTTTCAATACAAATAACATGTTAGTGTGTCCCCATGATGAACATCTTGGTTATGAATTCTACATTAGAAAAAAAGAAGGGAGGGAAGATAACTGGGAAAAAAGAAAAAGCAAGGAGTAAAAGGAATGGGAGATGATGTAAAAGGAACAAGGCCTTACCAAGAGCCTGTGTCCTGAACTCTTTAATATTTCTCATAGATGCTTTATATTCTGAAATTGTCCCTCTGGTGTTGCTCTGAGGCTTTTATATCCCAGAGAAATATATGATTATAATATTCAGGATAGGTAAGAAGTCTTTCTTTTATAAAGCAGTAGAAGGGAGATTTGAAAGGTCCGTGGGGAAAAAGATGTAGTGGACCTAAGACAGCACTCTCAGCATACACAGAGAAAGAGGACACATATGGATAGAAGTTGAAAATTATTCCTTTCAAACTTGCTGACATTAACTGAATTGACATAACTGAATTGTTTATGGTTAAAATTACATGATGTCTAGAATTTGCTTCAAAATAACTGAGGGGTGGAGAAGAAGGAGAAAGGAGTGAATACATAGGTTGGGAATGGCCATGGGATAATGTTGGGATGAGTGCTTAGTATGTGAGGTTTTATTATACTCTTGTTGACTTTTTTTAAAATTTATTGATTTTGGAGAGAGAACCATCAATTTATTTTTCCATTTATTTATGCATTCATTAGTTGATTCCTGTATGTGCCCTAACTGGGGATGGAATCTGCAACCCTGGTGCATGGGGACAATGCTCTAACCAACTGAGCTACCCAGCCAGGGCACTCTTGTTGACTTTTATATGTATTTAAAATTCTCTATTAATAACATATTAAAAAAACCACCCCAAACTCCAAATTAGCTACCAGTCTTGAGGTACTCTTAAAGATCACCAATATGTAGTAAATGTAAACCTAAAGAAAACACAAATTTCCACTTAGCATTTCTATCTACGCCCCACTTCAATTTTTATTGAAATTTTTTCACTTCCACACCCAACATAGGATTCAGAAAATAACAGGAAAGAAAATATGGACCATGAGGGGGGAAAAATAGGAGATGCAAGGGTAGCACTCCAAATCTGAAACTAACTGTAATGCTTAAAATTAAAATGTCCAAAATAGTATTACATTTCCAGGAAAAAGACATCTGAAAAAAGTACAACCACATATTACCTATTTCAAATATGAGGATCAATACTAGATAGGATTCTTACCAATATGGCGTTCCCACAAAAGAATTGGCAGGAGATGCCATGGAAGCAGATCCAAAGTCAGCAAGTTTCACCTGGCCTGGTTCTGTCAGAAGAATATTTCCTGCTTTGATATCTCTGGGTTTAAGGAACACAGAAAATTATTTCTTTTTCTTTCATTATACTGTGTTGAAAATGATAAAAAGTAAAAATTTGTAAAGTAGGGAAGGAGAAATCAAAATAATTAAGTTCTAGGATAAACTTTCAATTGGGATAGTAAGAATTGAGATCCAAATTAAAAACCAAAAAGTACAAAATTCATATAAATATATAGGAACAAATTTCTAAGAGAAGATAAAAAAGCAGTAAAAACAAAACAAAAAAAATCAAGCAATTGGAACATACAGACTATATATCTGAGTTCCTATTTACTGGTAAAATAATGGTTTTAAAAATAGAATTTAATTAGTCGACCTTTTTTTCCTAAATATAAGATTTCTCAATATCTCACTTAATGTAAAAATAAAGAACCTCATGCCGAATTTTTCATTATTTAATTTTTTAAAATTTTAAATTTAAGTATAGTTGGTATACAATCTTTTTTTAATGAAAGGAATGTCATTTATTTATTTATTTATTTATGTATTATGTCNGTATAGTTGGTATACAATCTTTTTTTAATGAAAGGAATGTCATTTATTTATTTGTTTATTTATTTATGTATTATGTCTATTGATTTCAGGAAGAGGAAGGGAGAGGGAGAGATAGAAACATCAATGATAAAAGAGAGTCACTGATCAGCTGCCTCTTGCACACCCCTTACTGGAGATTGAGTCCACAACCTGGGCATGTGCCCTGACCAGGAATCGAATCTTGACCTCCGGGTTCATAGGTTGATGCTCAACCACTGAGCCATGCTGATGGGGCTATATAAAATCTTATGTTGGTTTATTAGTTTCAGGTGTACAATATGGTAATTTGACATTTTTATACCTTACAATGTGATCACCCAACTAATTCTAATAATAATCTGTCACTGTGCAAACTTATCACAATGTTATTGACTACAGTCTTTTCCCCCTTTTCTCCCATCCTCCCACCCCCTTCCTTCTGGTAATCATCCTATTGATTGACTGGTGTGTTTTTTTAGATTTCACATATAAGTGAAACCATACCCTCTAGATCCATCCATGTTGTTGCAAATATGCCCCAATTTCTAAAAAGGGATTATTAATATCATTTCTAAAGCTCAGCATAATTCACCTAACTTAATATGATATGAAAACTGATGCATAAGGATAATATACTATTGTTGATCTCAAATTTACTTTTCTAAACCAGCAGACATACTATCCATGCAAACTAAGAAAATGATGGATATTTATATAATAGGGTTGTGTGTCCAATGGGTACCATAATATACACTTACCCTTTTTAAAAAAGAAAAACTTTATTTCCAAGCACTGGTCAATTCTTACTATAGTATTGTAATGGATACAATACTAAATCTATTGTCCTTCCATTTGTTTTTAAAAAATGGAGAGGTATTCTGAATTTGAGAAGACCTTAGGTTCTAATTCCATCTCTTTCATATACCTACTAGCATGTGGATTTCTCTTCGACCTTCCTATTCTCATCTAAAAAATTAATAACCCATTAACTCACAATGACTCTACTATATAATTTAATATGTACTGCCTGGTTCACATATATAATTGAAAAATGTTAATTTCCTTCTAAACCAGGCAAAACTAATACCAATGCTAAAAATGCATTATAAAATGGTTTAATTTTAAAGTAACTATCCATTATCATGGATTATCAAGGATTAATACTAAAAAGCATAAAAAGTCTTAAGTAGCTTTTATATGTCCATGTTATGGAATCAATGGAACACATTTGGCATTATCAGTTACCTGGGAGAAAAAAGATCTAGGTTTAGTTCTAGTTTAATCTATCTGGCTTTTTAAACTTGGGGAAATTAGCCCTAGCTGGTTTGGTTCAGTGGTTAGAGTGTCCGGCCCATAGACTGAAGGGTCTCACGTTCGATTCTGGCCAAGAGCACGTACTTGCAGGCTGGGTCCCGGCCCTGGTTGGGGTGCATGCAGGAAGCAACAAATTGATGTCTCTCTTTCACATCGATGTCCCCCCCCGGCCCCCCGTCTCTGAAAAGCAATGGAAAAAATACCCTCCTTGGGTGAGGATTAAAAAAAAACCAACAAGAACATACAAACAAACTTAAAAAAATAAATAAATTTGGGGAAATTAGTCACAAATTGGGACATCAGTTTCTTCATCTGCAAAATGAAAAAAGACAACATAACCCCTAATGTCCTTTCCATTTTGCAAATTAAATAATTCTGTAATTAAATTTTGACCTCAAATCTATAAAGTGAACATACTTCAAAAAGCCCAGCAGCATGTGCAGAAAAAATAAAAATTATCCTAAACAAAGATCAAGTGTACTAGCATGTTCTTTTTAAGGTATGGGCAATCTAAAAAACATGAGTTTATAAGATTCTGAAATGCTTTTATTTGGCTATAACCAATGAAAATTTCAGGGCAAATGAGTTCCAGGGTTGATAAATGCAACAAACCATTTGCTTGTTAATATATGATAATTTTCAATATACTTACCTATGGATCATAGTATGAGAATGCAAGTAGGCTAATCCCTGGAGAGCACCATGTGTAATTGCTGCTATTTCCACTTCTTGTAATGGCTTTTTGTGAACTTAAAATAATAATTTGAAAATAATTATATAGAATATTTTTGTTTAAGATAATAAGTACACATATTTGATATATATGGGGCAATTTTAAAACAGTAACATTTAGCAAAAAAGGGATTTTTCCCAAGATATAAAACAAGGCTATTGAATGTTATACCCAGTACCAATTATGTCTTGCTGTTAAAGTTGAGGTTACAGCCAATATTCAAGCTAACAACATTTAACAATTATTTGGTGATAAATTGTACAAAAGTAACAAAAAAGTTTTCCCTTCATTCTCCCATATTTTTACTCTGAACAGAAGGAATAGATCAAGCTGAATGACAAAGAATTCAGAAAAATGCTTGTTAAGGCATAATGAGAGAAAATTCACCTATTTTATGCTACTACGTAACATAAAAAGAGGATGGTGCATACCATGGTGAGAATCTAGAAAAAGTTAAGGTTTTCACTGTTTTGAAAAGTTTTTACATTATTTAAGAATTCTCATTTTATTTTGCTAACACTTTTTTCTTAGTATTTGAAGGAAACCTACCTTCCAGTAAATCTGAAGCAGATCCTAAACAATATTCCATTACAAGCTATGTGGAAAGAAAAATTATAAAAGCATTAAAATATAGTATTGAAAAGATTCTATTTGAGATAAAATAAATTCACCAAGGAGATCAAGAACATAGTTTGAAGTAAAACAAACTCTAGTCATTATTTACCTTAAAAAATATTTATGTAGTTAGCAATTTGTTAAATACATTTATAAAGTCAATGATACATTAATCTTTTATATCAACATATAATCACTTGTATAAGATATGTATTTCATATATAACTACTAACTAAAATTATAAAAGAATATACATATTTTGTTACTATTAACCTAGAGTAGCAATACTGATTGTTAGGACGCAAAAAACTATTCTCTGGGATCCTCTGGGACTCTATGTACAAAGCTTAGGTTACGGTTTAAATGTTTCCTTTAAAGCAAATAAAGAGCACCAGGTATTTTATAGTAACTAATTTAATCCTCACAACCACTTTATGAAGTAGGTCCTATTATTTCCTTGTTTTACAGATGGAAAACCTGAGAGATGAAGTAACCAGCTCAATGTCACTTCTCTCTCTTTAACCACAAACTCAGCTTTAGGAGCATTACCGCAACCACAACCAAAATCAAACTGGACAAAAATGTACCAAACATTAGAAATCTAAATGTAACTTCAGTACACCAAAATGATAATTAGCTGTGGCTTATTACTTATTCAGTATAAAGGATCGTTCCTGTTTAACAAAAATTTAGCCCTTTTCTTAAAAGATACAGTTATTGTGCCTATACCATTAAAGGATTACTACTTATCTCCTCAGTGGTAACAACAGGGTAAAATTAATCTCCACTTCTTGTAATAAAGTGTCCCAATTCTCTACCTTTAGTATTACTCTGCCAAGGAATCACAATCAATTCAAGTTTCACCAGGATTCACCAAGACTTCACCAAGAACTTTGTGGTTAAATAGATTATAACACATTATACCAAAAAGCTGTAACTTTCACCCTCAAGTAATAGAACTGGTTTCACAATGTTTGAGAAACAATTTAGTAGTTTGATAAACTACAAAAAAAATCAGAGAACAGTTAATGCATATAAAGATCAGCTCTATAGTAAACGTGCAATGCAAAAGTTCTTATCATCTAGGAGTAGGAGTTCTGGAAAAAGCTGCTCTTCCTTTCTCAGTATGAAGTAACATTTCAAGGTGGTTTAGCAAGCTTCGCAAGACCATTTTGAAACATTCTTAATTTAATTAATTCTATGCCCAAACCAACTAAAATTAAGGCAAAAGAAGAGCAGATACCTACCCATGCTGTGTGCTCACGTAAATAGCAGCCTTTATATTCTATACTGTTGGGATGTTTTATTCTTTGTAGGAACTTGACTTCTTTAATAATATCCTGCCATTTCTATGGGGAGAAAAAAGGGAATAAAGAATTATGAACAGCTGCTTTTCCTTAGAAATTTATATAAGAAAAAAGTAATTACTAGATTAAGGGTTAAGAAAAGCATAAAACTGCTTTATTTGTAATATTTAACTTAAATGTCAATTTTACATTCATATAATTTACAATCACATAATTTATAAAATTATTTCATTCAAGATAGGACAAATGTTAGTTAGGTAAAATTTATCATCAATGATTCTTATTAAAAATTTACAACCACACACCACATGCTGGTGAAAACTATATACCGTATTTAGTGATTTTTCTTCAAAATTCAACTTCCCTTTCTTAATTGCAGCTTTACTGACATAATCTACATACCATAAAGTTCACCTACTATGTTTTTGGCTTATATCTTCTACCAAATGTTAAGGTTTTGTTTATTTTTTAAACTCAAATGAAGTAATTACTCTGAGACATAAATTCATAAATGCACCCTTTCTAAAATGCTAGTGAACAATTAGCTATTACATAGAAAAGTTCACAGAAAAAACAAGCAGTATGAAAACATTTTCCTACATATTTTACTAAGAGCTTTCTTCATGGACACCTACAAGGAAATACAGACAAACCATTGGCTATAAACAATATATTTAGGCCATATCCTAAACAAAGTTCATCTTAAGAAGCAACCAGGGAACTCTAAAGGACCCAACGAGGTCCTTGGGTCTCATACCTACTATATAGTCTTAGTAGGTGTGAGACAGCAAGCAGGAATCTATTTTTTCTTTGTTTTAATTTAAAGCTTTAACCCCAACTTGGGCCATATTTCTAAAATCAGAGAAACTGCTTGGCTGGCATGGCTCAGTGGCTGAGCATTGACCTATGATCCAGGAGATTGTGGTTCAATTTCCGGTCAGGGCACATGCCCGGGTTGTGGGCTCGATCCCCAGTAGGGTCATGCAGGAGGCAGCCAATCAATGACTCTCTCATTATTGATGCTTCTATCTCTCTCTCTCCCATTCCCTTCCCCTCTTTGAAATCAATAGACATTTTTTTTTAAAAAAAAGTCAGAGAAACTAGCATAATAGAAAACTTCAAGAAATATTTTGTACTAAATTTAAGATCATATATCTCCCATGTTCTTTAACAAGCCCTCAACAAAATACAGTGAAGTAGGTGCACAGTGTTTTATATAAAATGTGTAAGATATAAGATGCTAAATTCCGAAAAAGTTTCATAGACCTTAAATTTCAAATTTGAATGCTCTGGGAGACAAAGTCTCAAAACAAAATAAACACCTGTATTCTTCAATGTAAAAAAAACTTTTATGAAGGACACTAGTATCAAATGTAAAAAAATGATGCCCTAAATGAAACTTTTTGTTCTAGGTGTGCCTAACCAGACTCTAGCATAGCATAAGTCTTCCTGTGAAAATCAGTTCTAAAGTTGTGCGACACAATGGTGAATAAACTTAGAGTAAACTTGTAAGAAATGGAGGTGAGTGTTTTTTGGGGAGTTTTAGGAATTTTTAGGAGTTTTTTAGGTATTAAAATGATGGAACATTGATATAATAGTATCATCATACCCACGGTACGATCATCACAAATACGAGATTTAGCATAAAATAAAGAGATTTGAAAAAGGCAGAAAACCAAACTCTTTAAAAATTAAAGACTGATCCAGAAATTCTACCTCTGGGCACATACCCGAAAGTATTGAAAGCAGGGACTCAAAGAAATATTTGTATACCTATGTTCATAGCAGCATCATTCACAATAACCAAGGGACGAAGGTACTCAAGTGTCCATCAAGAAATGAATGGATAAAAATGTGGTGTTTCTCTCTCTCTCTCTCTCTCTCTCTCTCACACACACACACACACACACACACACACACACACACACACACACACAAAACACAGGAATATTATTTAGCCCTAAAAAGGAAGGAAATTCTGACACATACTACCACATGGATGAGCTTTGAGGGCATTTTGTTATGTAAAATAACCCTGTCACAAAAATACAAATACTGCATAATTTCGTGTACATGAGTCAACCTAAAGTAGCCAAAATTCACATAGAGAGATAGTAGAATGGTGATTTCCAGGGACTGGAGGAAGGAGGGAATGAGGAGTTATTATTTAATAGGTACAGAGCTTCAATTTTGCAAGATGAGATAAAAAGAATTCTGGAGATGAATGGTGGTGATATTTGTACAGCAATATGAATATCCTTAATGCCACTAAACACTTAAAAATGGTTTAGCGGCAAATTTTGTGTATTTTGCTATAATTTAAAAAAAAAAATTTTTAATTAAAGACTGACATATCCTAGATTTAGCAAGTAGACTATAGTTTATAAAGTTTGTTTATGCAATTAAATAGAATATAACATCAAAAGAACTAATCAGAATATTAGTAAACTAAAGTATACTTAATGTAGTATTGTTAATTTTATATTTTGGTTTTTCAGATTATTACATACCACCTGTTTTTCAGACTAGATCTATACTGCCTGTTAATTAAAGTGCATTTAAAATAGCAGTTAAGCCTGGCTGGGCGTGGCTCACCAGTTGAGCATCAACCTAGGATCCAGGAGACCGAGGTTTGATTCTCAGTCAGGGCACAAGCCTGGGTTGTGGGCTCAATCCCCAGTCAGGGGCATGCAGGAGGCAGCTGATCAATGATGACTCTCTTATCATTGATGTTTCTCTCTCTCTCTACCTCTCCCTTCCTCTCTCTGAAATCAATATATATTTTTTTGAAAATAAAAATAAAAAATAAAATAAAATAGCAGTTAATCTCTAAACCATTAAAAGATTATATCCAATATATTTACTGTAAAATACATCTTATTCTAGTTTACTATTTTAGGAACTGATAATCCCTCTATGATAAAGATAGAGTAATATAGTGCCCTGGTCATGTTGCTTAGTGGTTAGAGCATCAGCCTGCACACTAAGGGTCACGGGTTTGATTCCTAGTCAAGGGTACATACCTGGGTTGCAGGTTCGATCCTCGCCCTCGGTCCGGGTGTGTGTGGGAGGCAGCCAATGGATATGTCTCTCTCACATCGACGTCTCTCTCTCCTTCCCTCCCCACTCCCTTCCATTCTCTCTAAAAATTAATGGAAAAAATATCCTCACTCCTTGGGTGAGGATTAAAAAAAAGTAATAGAGTAATATATTAAATCACAGTTTAAAAAATTAAAAGCAGGGGGCACAAGTTGGGAGGCTTTTGGGATGCCAGTAATGCTATTTATGGCTCTAGGTCAAAGTTAAAGGGGTACATTCAGTATATGAAAGAAAATTCACTGAGATATACACTTAATATCTGTACACTTTTCTTTATGTATGTTATACTTTTTGGAAGAAATTCCCACCCACTCCCAATTAAAAATAGTATGTCTTTCTCTAACATACCAGTAAGAATGTATATATTTCACCACCTACCTCTGTAGACTGCTTTCCACTGTAAGACATTTTCTTGATAGCCACCACTTCATTGGTACGTACATCTCGTGCCTAACAAAACAAAGAAAGAACCATTGTAAAAATTAACAGGTTAAATCTGGGCAATCATTTCTCTGGGAATAAAAGCATTTATAAGCTCCCATGTCAAAAAGGACATGGGAGCTGTTTTTAAAGAATAAAAAAATAATAACTATTTAACAAAATAGCCAATTAACCAATACTTTGGAAAGAAAAAAAAAAGCAGTTATCTTTGAGTAATCTAGTTAAGAAGAAAAATACAGAAAGTTGAATAGTACTATAAACAAAAAGACAAAACAAGACAAGTATATACAAGGCTATACCAATAATTTTTGAAATCTCAATGAACTGGACAATTTTCTAGTTAAGAATAAATTACCAAAACTGATCTAAAGAAGAAAATGTAAATAAAACAAATAGTGGCAGGCTGAAAAGAATACCAATGAATTACATTTTAAATAGCCTTGAGTTGAAAACAGTTTTACCAGGGAAACTTTCCAGGATATACAGGGTGAAAAAGGAAAACTATGCTATTAATTTTATGAAGCCAGTATAATCCAATAATTAAAACTTGACAAAAGAGTGCAAAATAGAAAGTTAGGTACCAATTTCATTTTTAAATATAGACAAGAAAGTTCTAAATAAAATTTTAAAACCAAATATTATAGAGCATTAAAAGAAACTTCCATTTGCATAAAATATACTATAATCACAGAAATGCAAAAGATTTCAATACTTGGAAAACATTTAACAATTTATCACATTTCTTACAAAGTCAAAAGGGTAGAAAATAGATGTGTATGTATGTATGTATGTGTACACACACACACACACAATACACTCAAAAAATGCTGAGAACGCAGGAAGATCTCAACTCTAAATGTATTCAGTTGCAGGAAGGCCAAACTGTTAGAAAACTCAAATTACAAATATAATTCCTCAACATGCTAAATCATGCCTATCATAAACAACTGCTAATCAAGATTAAGATAAGACTGCTAAAATACTAACAAAATTATTTACAACTGTTCTTTTAAAAGTAATAAAAATGTAGCATTAACATATAGTTAACTCTTTGAAAAAGAGCCAAACTCTCATTATTTGTTTTAAAAAATTATTATATATTGAAAAGACACATGAAAATAGTTGCAAATTAGTTAAAATGAGTTCAGTAAAAGGGTCAGAACCATCTCAAATCATCTGTGGAAGAACTCTTTTTCAATCCAGACTTTAATAAACTGTCAAAAATAAAATGCTTTAAATTAGATTATAGTGATGGCTCCAAACCTCATTTACTAAAAAGCAATAAAATGTATACTTAAAATTGGGGAACTTATAGTATGTAATTTATACCTCAAAAAATTTGTTTGAAAAAAAGACAACATATATATAAATTATACCTAAATAGTTGCTTAAAAAACAAACAAACAAAAAAACAAAAAAGACACTCTGGCCTGACTGGTGGTTGAGCATCAGTTGGTTGAGCACAGACCCATGCCCTGATTTGATAACCCAATCAGGGCACATGCACGGGTTGCAGACTTGATCCCCAGCAGGGGCATGCAGGAGGCAGCCAATCCACGTTGATGTTTTCCTCTCATGGAAGTTTCTCTCCCTCTCCGCCCCTCTACCTCCACTCTAAAAAAAAAAAAAATCGATAAAAACATATATTTTTTTAAAAAGAAAAAAGGCTCTATTAAGTGGATCCCGGAAACATCTAACTACATTCCAATTTTAATTACAAGTGGACTGGTTAATGGAAACTTGCACCACTTATTATAAAGGGTGAAGTGGATCTATTCATGTTAAGTCCTACTTGACTATGAATTTTTCCAAAATGTTCTCTGGTTTTATCTATCTGTGAACCTGTTGACTTTTTTTTTTTTTAAGTTTTTACTTTATTAATCATATCATGAAAAATCTGCACAATAGCCTCAGATAAAGTGACTAAATAATCTTCACTCCTCCTGTTGTCCAATCTCCAGCTCACTTTTTGCCAGCACCAACATTGGTGTTTGCAATCCCCCTGACTTTCTTCATTCTGTCCTTGTGTTCCTTTCTCTGTTTTCTTGAGGTTGTCTCCTCATACAGACCATGTCTTGCAAGCATCTATGTTTGGGTTCATTTTGCTTTGTGTAATCCAAGGAATGATAAATCATGCCAAAGCCAGTTGTCTTGCCACCACCAAAACGAGTCCTGAATCCAAACATAAAGATGACATCTGGTGTGGTCTTATACATTTTGGCTAGTTTTTCCTGAATTTCTGTCTTAGGTACTATAGCCTCCCAGGGTGAACATTTGTTTCCACCTGGTCCAGATAAGTTACTCATGATGGCAGCTGATCTCCAAGCAGCCAGGGAGAAAAAAGGGCCCCTTGATTTTAATCAATAAGTTTAAACAGCTATATTATTTTATTTTATAATAGCTTTATTGAAATATAATTTACATATCATAAAATTTACCCACTTTAATTTTTACAGTTCAGTGGCTTTCAGTATATTCATAGATATATGCAACCATCACTACAGTCAATTTTAGAACTTACATAGCCTCAAAAAGAAACTCCAAATTCTTCATTTAAAAATAATTAAAATGGTAAAATTTGTGTGTATTTTACAACAGTAATTTTTTTTCTCTACTAAAAAAAACAAACAACTATATCCTTTAACTATCACCCTTTTATCCCTTTTTCCCCATCCCCTCAGCCCTATGCAAAAACTAATCTACTCTGTGTCTCTCTAGAGATTTGTCCATTCTGGACATTTCCCATAATTTGTGGTCTTTTATGATTGGCTTCTTTCACTTAGCACAGTGTTTTCAAGATTCATGACTAATGATGTTGAGTACCTTCAAGTGCTTCTTGGCCATCTGTACATCTTTGGTGAAATGTTGGTTAAGATTTTTTACCCATTTTTAGAGTGGGTTGTCTTTTTTAGTATTGCGTTGTAAGAGTTCTTTACAAGCTTCTTATCAGATATATGACTTGTAAGTCTTTTATTTTGTAGGCTGTCTTTTCACTGTTTTGAAGAACAGAAGTGTCTAATTTCAATATAGTCTAATTTATCTATTTTTGTTGTTGTCACATATGCTTTTCATCTAAGAATTCTCTGCCAAAACCAAGGTCATTCAGATTTACTCCTATGGTTTCTTCTAAGAGTTTTATAGTTTTAACTGTTACCTTTAGGTCTTCAATACATTTTTAGTTAATTTTTACATATGGCGTGAGGTAAGAGTCCAATTTCATTGTTTTGCATTAAAACAGCTACATTATTTTTTTAAAAAACATATATCTTTATTGATTTCAAAGAGAGAGGGAGAGGGAGAGAGAGAGAAACATCAATGATGAGAGAGTTGTCAATGATTGGCTGCCTCCTGCATGCTCTTGATTGGGGATCAAGCCCAAAACCCAAGCATATGCCCTGACCAGGAATCAAACCGTGATCTCCTGGATCCTAGGTTGAGGCTCAACCACTGAGCCCTTGCCCGGCCAGGCTACACTATTTTTTTTTTTTTAATGTTTTTATTGATTTTTGAGAGAGAGGAAGGGAGAGGGGAGAGAGAAACATTGATAGGTTAGTTTTGTGCATGCCCCCTACTGGGGATAGAGCCCAAAACCCAGACATGTGCCCTGACCGGTAGTGGAACAGTCAACCTCTGGGTGCATGGGAGGATACTCAACCTACTGAGCCACACAGCCAGGGCAAAAAGCTACACTTTTAATTGGCCTAAGATAAAAGCTTGATTTTAAAATGGGTACACTAGCCCGGCCAGGCGTGGCTCAGCGGTTGAGCATCGACCTAGGATCCAGGCGACCGGGTTCGATTCCCGGTCAGGGCATATGCCCGGGTTGTGGGCTGCAACCAATCAATGACTCTCATCATTGATGTTTCCATCTCTCTCTCCATCTCCTTTCCTCTCTCTGAAATCAATAAAGATATATTTTTTAAAAATTTTAAAAAAATTGGTACACTAAAAGCAATGCAGTATTCTGGATTAGATTCTAGAATAGAAAAGAGATGGTGAAAAAACTGGAAAGATCTGAATAGTATAGTATCTGTGCTGACTTCTTAGTTTTCATAAATGTACCATGGTTATGAAACATATTACCATCAGAGGAACTAGGTGAAAGTTATAGGGGAAAACTTTACTGTTGCAAAATCTAAAATTATTTTTAAATAGTAACTTAAATTTAAAGGTGACTATAATTTATCAAAATTCAAACTTCTTAGTAATAATTATTAAAATTAAGGGAACAAATTAAAATGAGATATGACTTTTGCTTATCACATCTATAAGAAACAAAAACTAAAAATATTTAGCTTGGCCGGCGTGGCTCAGTGGTTGAGTGTCATCGACCCATGAACCAGGAGATCATGGTTCAATTCCTGGTCAGGGCACATGCCTGGGTTGCAGGCTCAATCCCCAGTACGGGGCATGCAGGAGGCAGTCAATCAATGATTCTCTCTCATCATTTATGTTTCTCCCCTTCTCCCTTCCTCTCTCTGAAATCAATAAAACACTAAAAAAAAAAAAAAAAAGTAATGTCAACAAACATGTTTTTCCCTCTCTCAAGATCACTTATTATGCTTACTTATAATTTCTTATTAGTCTCCTCTAATCAAGAAAAATTCCTCAACCTTTCTCTCTCATTACACAGGCATTTTTGAAGAACATACTGTGGAATTTTATAGAATGTTACTACATTTGTGCTTGTCTGACATTTCTTCCAGATTAGATGCTGGGCTCTGGGTGGTGTGGTTCAGCTGGTTAAGCATTGTCCCCATGCACTGAGAGTTCACTGGCTTGATTCCCAGTCAGGGCACACGCCTGGATTGCAGGCTCGATCCCCGGTGGGAGGTGTGCAAGGGGCAGCAGACTGATGGTTTTCACTCACTGATATTTCTCTTCCCCCCTCTCCTTTCCTTTTCCTCTCTCTCAAATCAATAAAAACATTTATTTATTTATTTATTTATTTATTTATTTATTTATTTATTTATTTATTTATTTATTTTTAAAAAGATGCTGGTTATACA